CTGATTTAAATCTTTGAACACACCATCAGATTAATTAAGCAAGATGTTTCCTTCCGGCAAAGTTTGTAGACGCCAGAATGGATACTTCTATGGTAATTGGGCTGGCCCGTGAAGTCCAACCGAGTCTGTGACTTAGCTGTGCAGAAGTTCCCTGGTCATCTGGTTTGCCGGGCTTCATTCACTGGAGAAGTTGTCCAGGGCACCGCRGCGGCTGCCTTCCTTGCGGGCACACGGGTGGTCGTCCGACTTGAATTAAATCAGCCTCATCGTTTTCAATCAATGTAAATCTCCTTCCTGAAAGCACCTTCAGATTAAACTATAAAAAGTAAAAAGTGGAAAAGAATGGCCTCGCCCCGGGAAGGGGGGAAGCTGGAGCTGAAAAACTACTGCTCTTTCCTCAAACGCTTCTTAGAACTACACATGGCAGAACAATGAAATACTCCCTGTTCACAACGGAACTTCTCATTGGTTAAGACTTTCTGCGGTGGTCACATGACACCATCCGGACATGTAACAGAAGAACAGAGTAATAATTAATCAAAACCAGATCAAGTTACTAAACAATGTCATGATTATTACAGTAATTAAATCAGAGTACCAAGGTATTGTTTTGACACTTCACAGATGCTTTTTATAGTTATAAACAGAAAACATGGGTGAAAAATAAAATATTTTTAGGGTTAATAGATAAAATGTCCACAGGGTGGCTTTGCTGACCCACAGATAMATCTGATGGGAGTCTTTTGATGTGTTTGTCTCGTCTTGTTTAACATCAGGGGCCCTTTGATGTCAAACAGTGTTTATTCCAGTCTTATTCTGAAAGAGGTGATAAACAAATGAACTGGCGACAGGAAGTCTATTCTTTGTTCTAAGGCCTAAGGGTGAAGTATCAGATGAGTTATAACAGGAAAAGTAGTTTGACTGTCTCTTGTTGAGAAGATATTCACATTTCTACTACACCATTATCAAACCAATTAGCTTCCACTACAAATAGTTATGCTAATTTTCAGGCTGCTAAGAAAAACAAAGACAACTAACCCCGCACACATGCAGCACTCCACCCTTGCATCATGCACTTTGTGTGTATGTAGCATCTTTAACTTTTGTGTGTCCACCTGTGTTAGTATTTAATTAGAAGGAGAAGAAGACTTGTGATGCAGATTGAGAGACAGTCACCTTCATCCACTCAAATCTCTACATTATCAGAACAGGTCATTTTGGCCAGGGGCTGTAGTTAGCGGTTAGCGGTTATCAGTTAGCATTAGCTTAACATCACATGACCTGGGTGTGCTAATCAAGGGAAATTTTTTGTGTATCGAGCTAATGCTAAGCATTGATATCAATGAGCAGAACAAGGCACGGTGCAATCACCGAATAATGTACAAGCACCGCTAATGCTTTGCTATCAACTTCAGAAACTACGACACGTTCACAAGAACAATAGGGTTTATATTTCACATGTAAATAACACGCACATTTAACCACAATAATGGTTTAAACTGTAAAACGAATATGCTAACAAAGAGCATGAACGATATGCATGGTTCTATTAACAAGCTTATTAGCTTATTAGTAAAAAGAAATACTAAAGAAAAAATAAGAAAATAAAATAAGTAGGTCCTTTCGATGGTCCATCCAGAGGACCTACTTATTTTTTCTTTTTGATTTTTTTCTACCTGGATAACTGAGGTGCATCAGGACTAATAGCAGAACAGATTTTTTGTTTAGCAGATTAGTTTTTTCACTAAAATAAAAACAAAACATTAGCGAGACTAATTAGCTTTAACTAAATGAGGTTTTGCCAACTTTAATGCTGCATTCACACCAAACGCGTTGCGTGCCTCCAAAAATCTCAAAACGCACGCTTCCCGACGCTGGTGTCCAGGGAGGACAGACGCATTCGATGTGAACATAGACACACTTTTTTAGACGCGCGAGAGGAGGAGCCTGTTAACCGTAGTTTTGATAACGTACCAGACATGCCGTCTTCCTCACTAATCATCCTCCAGGTAAAGTCCTTTTTATTTCTATCACAGTAATGGACACTGGAATGATCATAAATGATCGGACTATCAGTTTTTCCTCCATTGTTTGTGTGATCTGATTTCCCGGGCTTCCGGTATTTCCGGCTCATCACCAGTATGTCACTTAGCAGAGTCTCTCTGATTGGTCAATGCGACGCGTCAAGCAGCAAAAGTTCAGATTTTCAGACGCTTTGGACGTGTCGCAGCCACGGAAAAAGCTGATGACGTGTGCTCCGCTTCGAACCGTGCTGCTCGACTTCTACATGCCCCTAGATGCGCGTCCACCATTGACTTTGCAAGTAAACCAGATGCTCCTGATAATCAAAACACAATGGGCCTCATGCAAGAACATGTTCGTATTCTTATCCTAAATTTCTCTTACTTTTGTTCGTACAAAGGGTTCGTACGAACATGTCACG